CCCCCCCCCCCCCCCCCCACCCCCCAAGGGCCCCACGGGTGGGGGCGGGTGCCAGCCTGCCGTGCACGGGGCCCTTCTGCCAGTGCGGCACTGGGCTCGCTCAGGGACAGGAGAGGCAGGGGGGGGGGGCGCCCCCCTCTGGGGCTCTCCCCCTCATCCCCCTGCCCCAGAGCCGGGGGGCAGATGGCCCTTGCTCAGCCCCAGGACTGCGCTCTGCACCTGTCAGGGCACAGTGGGGAGGCAAGGCCCCTCTCCCATCCCAAGGGGGTGGCAATACGGCAGAAACATCCCCCAGTGAGAGGACAGAGTCCCAACCCCAGCGAGAGCCCCAGAGAAAGGCCCCCACCAGACCCTGCTCCTGCCAGCACCCCGTTGTCCCCCCTCGCTTAACCCAGGCAGAGGACTCCCCAGAGCTGCCAAGAGGAGAAGCCACAGGAGCCAGGGCGTGGGGCGGGCTCGCCGGCCTCGAGAGCCGGGCTGTGCAGTGAGGCCGCGGGGATGCCATGCACGCTGCCTGCATGTGGAGCCGGGATGCGGAGGTGATAATGCTGTGGGAAGGTGAGGCAGGGACCAGTCTGTGGCATGGAGGGGGGGACGCACGCAGCCTGGGGCAGCTCGCCGCTCGCTCCCGGGGCCTGCTCCGACAGGACCCTGCTGTGACTCGGTGACAAGAAGGGCCTCACGGTCTCTGTGCTCCAACACCGGACCCTCGTACCAGCTCTGCACCCCAGGGCTTGCCCCACCTAGAGGCAGAATCCCCCGGGATGCCCACCCAGCCGCACCACAGAGCCTCACCAGCTGCAAGTCCACTCCTGCCACCCAGCCCAGAGAAGATGGAGGGCTGCTGGACGTATGGACACCTTCCCCACGGGGGCTGTGCCCCTGTCTGCAGCCTCTTGCCCCTCCACAGGGCCACACTCCGAGGAGCCAGGCCAGCAGGCGAGGTGCACACAGCCCAGGGGCATCGCACCCACGGCCCAGCTCCTTCCCAGGCCACGTCTATCCAGCTGCCAGCACTCACCTAGCTTCAGGAGCCAGCCCTCCCGGTCCGGATTGAAGAACGTGTGGGTGAGGTCATTGCCATCGTCCTCAGGGATTTTGAAGGGTTCATTCTTGATGCTTTCATAGAGATTCTGGTACAACGATACACAGTGTCAGCTCTGCTCCACCCAGGAGCCCTGCAACAGGCCAGCTCCGCAGCCCAGCCCCGGCCCCTCGGCATCCCGTCCCTCACCCGGAGCAGCTCCTCAGGTAGGTCCCCCCCATCGTTGATGCCACGGTTCATGGCGATGAAGCGCTCCGCCGTGGGTTTGTCCTTGACGTTGGGGTTGTGCAGGCTGGTGTTCAGCATGATGATAGCAAAGGAGAGCACGTAGCAGGTGTCTACAGAGGCAGAAGGGAAAGTCAGCTGCGAGGCAGGATGGCCAGGGAGAGGGGCCAGGGCAGGCACTCACCTGTGGACTGGAAGACGCCGGGGTTGCACTGGCAGTACCGCTGGGCAAAGGCCTCCATCATCCGGTCAATCTTCTGCGCCTCCCCAGGCAGCCGGAAGCTCCACAGGAACTGCCTGCGAAGAGCAAGGCGTCGGGCTGCTTCGGGGGCTCCACGCACCCTCTGGCCACCCTGACGTTGCTACGGCCCCCTGCCAGCCCGCTGCCTGTCTCCGTTGATGGGACATGGGCCAGCTCCCAGCCCCCTTTGCTCACCGCAGGGCCTGCACGAGGTTGAGGTCAGTGAACTCGTGCAGCTCCACAAAGGCATGCAGAACTTGGATGTTGAACTCGTCCCTGCGGGAACAAAGCCAGAGCACGAGGGATGCATGATCACCAAGTCCTGTGACTGCCAAGCAGCCCCACGTCTCCCTGCCCCACTCCAGACTCTGCTCATTTGTGGGGGGAATCCTGCTTCCCGCCCCAAGTCCTGGACTGGTTTGCACACACTGGCCTCTTGCAAGTGCCAGCCATGGATCGAAGAGCCCCCCAGCTGGCCCTAGCACTTGGGATGCCCAGCCCGCCGTGTACCCCCACTCAGCTGCCCTGTAAGCTCAAAGAGCTGCAGTGTCCCATCTCTCAAGTGGTGAGAACCCAGGGCACCCTCAGGAGACCTGAGCTGCCCCAGACCAGCGTACCTCTCGCCCAGGTAGTCACCGATGGCTGTCTTGTTGAGGCCCTCTCCCTTGTAAAGGAACTGAGCGATATCCTCGCATGTGTTCTTCAACAGATCGTTTTCAATCAGGAACTGGATGCCCTGGAGTGGTACAAGAGGTGCTGCTCTGGGGCTTGCTGCTGACCCTGCCAGCCCGCCTGCTGCCTCCCCAGCCCCTGCCCTGGGTGCTGGCTCTGCCCCAGCCCCAGCAGGCAGCAAGGCACCTGGACCATGAGGTGGCAGAGCCCAGACAGGCTGGTGAACTGCCCTGCTCCCCACCCGGCCCACCCCGCAGTACCTTCTTGGGATCCATGTTGAACTTCTTCCTGCCCATGGCCACCTGCTTGTTCCTCTGCATGTTTTTCCTGCAAGGCACAAAGCAGCTCTGAGCACCCAGGGGGGACCTGGCTGCCTCCTGCCCATCCCCTCACCCCATGCGCTGCAGGGAGGGGTCAGCCTGGACCGAACGGGAGCCAAGCAACTTTGACCAGGCCGGGCCTCCTGTGTCAAACCTACATGGGGTGAAGCTGGCACACTGCTCCATGTCTCTGCCCCGCTCTGCAGCAGAGTGGCATGGGGCTGCTCTTGGCCTGCCAGGCCCCAGAGCAAAGAGGAGGTGCCGTGCTCCATCCACAGGGTCACCCCGTGCAGAAGGGGTGCCAGGTACAGCATCCCGGCAGGTCACCTCTGTATGGGGGGACGCTAGGGCAAGCTGGGTGCGGCGGGGCTCTGGGGAGAACAGCCTTCAGGCCCCAGTGGGGCCGGCGCAAGGGTGACAGCCTTCACGCCCCAGTGCGTGATTGGAAACGATGCTGGGAGTCAGCTCCTGTCAGCTGCCGGGACCCCCTAATCCCAGGCTGGCACTGCCTGCACCAGCTCAGAATAACAAAGTCTGACCGTCGCCGTGGCCAGACAGAGGGACCGAGGCTTGGAAAAACAGATCTTTGGAGCAGCAGTTCAGACTGGGATCCTGCTACTGCTCCACGGAATTCAGAGCGCCTGGGAAAGCCACCCACACCAGCACCCATGGGATGGGGCTGCACTGCTCAGCTGCCCACGGCTCCCACGGTGCGAGCGAGCCGGCGTTCAGGGCCGGCCTGGCCACAGGGGAGGGGGCTCAGTGGAGGCCCTGGGCTGCCGCGACAGCGGAGGACTCACCTCTCCTCCGTGGACCCCAGGTTCTCGATCTCATTCGTCACTTCTGCTATCTCATCTTTCAGCCGCTGAGGGGAGAGAGCACACTGAGACGGGAGGTGCCTCCCTCCCTCCCAAACCCTCCAGCCCCTCAGCCCTGACGGTAGCCCCGGGGCCATCCCCCCAGGAGGCCCCGGCAGCCCCTCCTTCCTTCCCTCCTTCCCAACCCCAGTGCTGCCCCAGGCTGAACCAGTTGGGGGGCACTGGCAGAGGGGGCTGGCTGCACCCCGCTGCTAATCCCCCTGCAGCATCGCCATGCTCTGAGTGTGCAGGAAGGGAGAGATTCAGAGGTTAACAAAATTACCCCCTAATCCCTTTAGATCATGCCCAGCATATGGCAGTAATTAGCCTCTGCTGCCTTAATCAGGGACACGACTGACGAGTGTCCCAGATGAGCACTGACCTCGCAGTCGCTTGCCAGGGCAGTGGCCTGGCCCAGAGACATGGTCCCTGCCTGTGCCAGGGAGGGGCTGGCACGGAGACGCCGGTGCCCTGGGCCACGGGGAACAGCACTAGCACGCAGCCCGAAGCTCTGCAGGGCGCAAGGAAAAGCCGCGGCTGCCTTGGCCCGGCAGGGCAGGCCAGCTGCCAGCCCAGGCCTGTGTCCCCTGCTGGGACCCTCTCCCTGGCCCCAGGGCCCCGCAGAGCCAACGCAATCAGGCAGCAAGGCAGCAGATCACAGGCTCCTTGCAGCAGCCACTGGCGTCTGCCCGGTGGGCCCAGCTCGCCCTGCGCTGCGATTCCAGCAGCTCCAATCCCCTGCCCCAGAAGGTCCACAAGAGCCCCCGCAGGCCGCAAGGAGAGGGGGGCTGGTGAGGAAAGGGGACAGGAGCACAAACCTGACTCACAGCCTTGCCTGGGCCTGCTCCTGCATGGGCTCTGTGGGTCTGGGGCACTGCACCCCGATCCCCCGGCCATTACAGGGCCAGGGCAGCCTTTCCTCCCTGCCTTACCTGGGCCACCCCCCCTTTCCCAGCAGCAGGGCAAGGGACCCTGGATGGGGCTGCAGGGACCCTGCCCAGTGACATGGGCAGGGAGATTGTCCCCTGCCTCCCAGGGGACAGCCCCAAGCAACAGGCTGCCACATCCAGGACAGGGGGTTGTGCATGCGGGCAGTGGTCCTCGGCATCACACCTGTATGTCAGCCAGCAGCTCCTGCTTGCGGCGGCGGATGTTCTCCAGCTCCTGGCACTCCTCCGGGGTCAGGTCACTGGGCACTGAGCGGAGACACAGTCAGGTCAGCATGCATGGCTGTAGGAATCATCCCCACCAGGCTCCAGGCACAGCCTCTGCTCCCGGCCGGCAGCCCAGAGCCCGTCAAGAGCTGGGATGCGGAGCTGCCGGGTCCCGGAGGAGCCAGGCCGACAAGCAGTGCCCCTGGCCCTGCACAGCGGCCAAGTGCCACCAACGGCACGCGAGGAATGTGAGGGCCTGGGCATTGCCCTGCTGGGCTGCAGAGGCAGTGGGGGAGCCGGGCACCGCCGGGTCCTGCTGATTCAGCCCGCGGTGGCCAGGCAGCAAGGGCAGCGAGAACCAGCAAGGACCAGCTCCAGCACTCCTCCCTCCGGCCCTGGCCCTGCCGTCCCACCAAGTCCAGTTTAACTCCACTCCACCCTAGTTGGGCTGGTGTTGGTGTCTGTCCCGCTCCCTGCCATGGCTGGGCAGCTGTACTGTGCCCCACGGTACCGGGCTCCTCACAGACCTCAAGCCCCACGGGTTGCTCTGCCGCACCAGACCAGCCCCGGAGAAAACCAGCTCCTGGCCGTCCTTGCAGTCCCCTCTATGCTGGATCTGTCCTTCCAAGCGAGGGCTCAGAGCCGGCACACCCTCCGGACAAACCTGGTCCACACGCCGTGCCGTCTACACCTCCCTGTCACCCCATGGGAGCCAGGCACCCCCTCCCCAACACCGTCCCCAGGGCTCAAGCCCGCAGCCACCATGTGCTCCCCCTTGCTCCCGAGCCCACAGCTCCCGGGACATTCCTGGTGCTCCCCGGTGCGTGACCTCGCCCTCCGCAGTGACACGGCGTCCCGTTTCTTTTCCCTCCCGTCCCCAAGGTCACCCACTTCTCCTGCAGTGCTCCTGGCCCTCATCTACCGCCCATGCCTCCCACCAGCAGATTCCAGCAGCTCCCTCGCACGCCACACCAAGGCCACCCGTGAAAACACCAAAGCACCGTCCCTCCAGAGCACCGTCCCCGAGGGAGGTGGCAGCAGCACCCAGCGGCTCGGCCCTCACACTGCCTCCTGCCCGGGGGTGCTGGGGACAGGCACACGGGAGGGCTGTCACCACCTTCTCCTACCCCAAACATTACCGCTCCATTCCGCCGAGGCCCCACGTGCCACCATGGCCGTAGTCTCCAGGCCACCGCTGCCACCAGCCCGGACTCACCCAGAGCGTCCCCAGCACGGCCACCTGCCCCGTCCCAGCACCCAGGGACGCCACATGCCTTTGAACCAGCACCGTCCTCAACCACGCATCGTTTCTCCCCGAGCCGCCAACTCGTCCGTGGGAGCCGCACACGCCCCTGGGGCGATCACGACTACGCAAATCGAATCTCTGAACTCAGCACTTCCCTGGCTCCGCTCGCGCTTTCTGACGAGCTTCCTCCTTCGCAAAAATCCCCCACTGCCAAGGTCAGCGGCAGCCTCGGCTTGCAACACCATCCCTCCAGACATGATGGCAACACTTCCCAATATTTTCAGTCTCCGACACTAGGAAGCATGAACCAGACAACCTGGCTCATGGCACCAGGTTAAAAGTTATTTAAACTTAAAATACTGGAGGCCTTGCCTTATCGATACATCTGAGCACCTTTCGCGCAGCCCAGTGCCATTCCCACAGGGGCTCGGCCCCTCCTGCCTGGCACCCAGGGCACCCAGCAAGCCCAGGCTTGCTGTGGGAAGGCCGAGCTGCATCACGCACCCGTTGCCAGACGCACAACCCCCTAAATCCCTGGGCTGCAGTGCGTGCCGCAGGACCCTCCCGCCTGGCCGCAGCTGCAGGGGAGGTAAAATTCAGTGCCAGGGTTGGACTTGTTGCGAGGAGAGCTGGCCGAGGGCGGGAGGCTGGAGCCAGCAAAGGGACCCGCTGGCACTCGGCTGATGAACAGCACAGGAGCCCCGGCAGGAGCAGCTCTGCCTTCCCCTGCCCACCTGTGAGCGGGCAGGGGTCTCGGCAGGCCCCGGGGCAGGCGCGGCAGAGAATGAGAGGCTGCAGGGGAGAGGGTGCCAGCAGGTCTGTACCAGAGCCCGGGAAGGTCCCTCCCTGCCTGCGCTGCTGTGGTGGAAGGCGAGCACTCGTGACACCAGCCCAGCCATGTCAGCAGCAGCTAGAGGAAGAGAAACCCCAGACGCAAGAGCTTTTCTGGGGAAGGAAGAGGGCGTTAACCCTTCCGCGGCACTCTGCACAGCACCCACCCCACAGTGCCGAACGGAGCCCAAACAATTCCCAAGAGGCCGGCAAGCCCTGCCACAGGTTGCAGGGAAGAGGAGGCTAGAGCAGGTGCTCACTGCCCCGGCTTCATCCTGGCACAGGAGTTGGGGCACAGCGACCCGTGGGACTGTGGGGATCCCAGTGCTGGCGCCTGCTCCCCGCCAGCACGAGGCCCCAGCGTAGGGGGGCTGGGGGCTCCCGCAGCTCCTGCTGCTGACAGCTGAGCCTGAGGACCCTGCACGCCAGTGGCAAGCAGGAGGACAGCAAGGGGCACCAGCAGGATTAATCCATCTGTCCCAGGCTCCAAGGTTGCTGGGGCCTGCGGCAGCTGGGAACAGGAGCAGCAGCATGTCCCCCACTCCTGCTGTGCCCAGCACAGAGCAGAGCCCCCCCTGTGGCGTGCAGAGGCCACATTCACCCCCTGTGCTCCTTCCTACCCCGCTGCCCCAAAACAAGCAGGCAGGGTCAGTGGCACGGCAGTGGGGCAGACACAGACCCCCCATGCCTGCCTCCCCCTTGCCCCGGCCCCACCAGCCTCCCCGCGTCCCTGGGCCAGGCTCACCGCTGCCCTCCGCCCTGAGCACCATCCTGGCAGGCTGTCTCCACCAACTCCGCCGGCCGTGCCCGTGCTGCTGGCGGCTCCGGAGAGGTGCTGCTGTTTCAGGGTGCGGACACCTGCCCGCCCCGGTGCTTCTGGTCCTTCCCGGGGTGAGTCAGGGCTGCGCCTGGCCAATGAGCTCCGGGGCCGCCTGGGCGTCATCCCGGCGAGAGAGCTAGCACCAGCAACACCCTGTTCCTGCCGCAATCAGCCCAGGGCTGCCAGCACCTTAACTCCTTTGCTCCCGGCCAGGCCGGGGAGTGGGGCAGCCAGGGCCCTGCTCCCCATCCTCGGCCCTGGGGTCAGAGGATGTGATGTGCTGGGGTTCCTGGCAGGCAGAGGTTGTGTTGGGGTCCGCTGCCCAGGATGCTCAATCCGGCACATCTTGAGCTCGCTGCAGCAATGCCGGGGTCCCCTCCCCTCCATCAGCTGGGGCCCCCCACCCCAGCAGACCCCCTGGCCCTGCCGCAGGGCCATGCCTGCAGCGGGAGCAAACCCTCGGCACATCCCTGTGTCCCACTGTCAGCTGCCTGGAGAGGCCGCATGAACCTCGGCCACCTTGACTCAGCTAAATCCTGCTCGGCAGCACGAGATGGAGAAGCAGCACCCAGAACACCAGCTATGGAGCAAGGGGAGGAAGGGCTTTGGAAGCCTTGCATCGGTCCTTCGGCCCACAGCTGTGCTGCACCGCTACCCAGCCCTCCTGCCAGCCCGCGCCGTGCCTGCACCAGGCTGTGCCGCAGGGGCAAAGGCACTGGGTTTAGGCAGACTGTGGGGACAAGCCGACGGTGCCGGCAGCGGCTGTTGCTGGGCTCTGCTGTGGGGCACTGCTGCCCGCTCCCGCCATGCCCCGCAGCTGGGGGGCCCGTGGGGCCCCGAGAAACTTCCTGCCCGTCTCAGCACACCACATCCTGTTTTTACTGCGCCGTGTGCGCATCCTGGGTTGCGTCAGCCCTGTCCTTCCCCACCGACAGCCGAGGTGCGTCAGGAGAAGGGTCTGGGGACAAGCAGCTCCAGGAAAGACCCTCTCAGGTGGCCAGGCCTCGCACTCAGAGCCAGCCAGGGCCCTCACGCTGCTTCAGCACAGCCCTGCTCGTCACCCCTACTCCCTGCACCCAGAGCCCAGCAGGGAGCCCATGTCCACAGCCACTGCCTCGCTCTCCAGCGGCTCCAGGCTCCTGCACCCCCCATGCACAGAGCCCCGGCCCACGGTGTGGCCGGGTGAGCACCGGCTCGGTCACGTCCACAACGCGGGCGCCAGGAGCGCCGCCCGGCAGGCGCCTCGCCTGCTCTCTACACGGTTCACTGTGCTGGGTCTCAGGCAGAACAGAGCCTGCTGCTGCCCGGCCTCAGCTGCCAGCAGGGTGCAGGGCTGGCCAGAGGAGGTCTTGCAGCCCCATGCCCCATGGCACGGCCACCCCCAGTCCCACGCTTGGGCAGGAACCCACAGACAGCAGCAGCTCACGTGGGCAGCCAGCCCACAACAGCAGCCCCAACGCAGCAGGCGCTGGGCTGCCCTGCACAGATTTTGGTTTGGAGAGCGCTGCCCCGAGCTGCTCTTGCAGCCACATGCACTTGCAGCGGCGAGGGTGGCCGAGTGCTCACGCATCGCCCAGGGCAGGAGGACAAGGGGCTGGGACAGGACCTGCCACAGCCACACCGGGCTGTGTGCACCCTCCTGGCTGCTGCTGCCGGCTCCTGCTCACCCCCTGTCCCAGGGCAGCACCCAGCACCGGTGCAGGGCAATGCCATCTGAGGCAGCCCAGTGCCCAGCCATCCTGCTGGGGCTCAGCGCTTGCACAGGCCCGAGCCTGGGGAGGCCGGCGGTGCGCGGGGGAAGGAGGCGGCGAGACGGTGAGGACTCTCTATGCTGCTGTCAGCAGGAGCCATATGGAGCAGGAGCTGCGGGCACCGATACATCTTCCAGGGGGCCGGGAACCCCGTGGCAAGCAGAAGGGAGGGCATGAAGCGCCTACCTGCCTTGGCGGCCACCGAGGGGCAGAGGAAGGCCTGGAAACTGGAGGCACAGAGCTCGCTGACTGTCCCCATGCTGCGGAGGTCCTGCGCAGGACACTGCCAGCTCTGAAGGGGCAGGCAGGAGCAGGCAGAGGCCTGGCAGGTGCCCTGTGGCTGAGCAGCAGGCTCTCCGGTGCCGGGGCCTGCAGGCAGGGTGCAGGCAGGGGAGCCGGAGGACTCCCCGCTCTGGCTGGAGCCGGGGAAGGCAGCTCAGGCAGGGGAGCTCCAGCTGCAGGAGCCCACGCGCCAGCCCCAGCCAATCCCTGCTGCTCCCTGCCTGCACACCAGCCTGCTCTGCTCCCGATGCTCCGGCCGGCGGCTCAAAGCCACTTAGAGGACAAGGAGTTTGGGAACTCCCCAGCAGCCCCCCCGCCCCGGGCTGCCTGCCCCCCGGCAGCCCCCTTGCCCCCGCGGGGGGCTGGCAGTGGGGTATTTTTAGAGCGGTTTTATCCCTCCGTATTAGAGCGTTAAGCATCAGGAGCTGGCGGTCGCGTAGCAACCAGCACTGCATAAAGGAGGGTGCACGAAGAGACACAACGCGGCTCTGGCGAGGCGTGGGGAGCGGAGGGTGCCGCCACGGCCCCTGCTCGGGGGGCACAGGGCCCGAGCACCAATCCCGGCACAGCCCCAACAGGCTGAGCCTGCCCTGCGTGCCGTGCATGGGCAGGCCCGCTACGCCTTCTGCCAGCCCCCCGGCAATGCTGGTCAGACAGCTGAGCTCCAGGCACGTCCCAGTGGCAATGGAGGTGCCTCCTGCTCTGCTGTGGTCTTGGGGTGCTGGAGGGCTCCTGCAGCAGGAACTGGGGGGGGGTCCTGCCCCGAGATCCTGCCCTCAGGGCCAGCTGCGGAGGTGGGGGGAAGGCACAGCCCTCCCGGCCCCCAGCCCCACTGCACCTCCGTCTCCCCAGCCCCACAGGCACCCAGCGAACCCAAACCGGACAAACAGGTTGGCTCTCGGCTGCCAGGAGCCAGCAAGCTCCGCTCGCCTGCGCCGGCAAGCACTGGGACGCGCTGAGCTAGGAGAAACCTGAGCAGGGCAGGCAGGAGCCCTGATGGGGCAGGCAGCGGGGAAGGGCACCCTGAGAGCAAGCCACCCTCACAGGCAGGAGGGTGCTGGGCAGGAGGGGACCCCGGCTCCCAGGAGCAGCGTGGCTGGGGACAAAAAGAAAGGTGGAGATGAGTAGCTCGCAGGGCTGCGAGGGCAGCCAGGCACTCGCCACCAGCATGACCAACCTTCTGGTTTCGGCACCACTTCCCCTTTCCTAGGGGCTGAAGTGGTGGTTGCCACATCGCCGGGGGCCTTCAGCAGCCAGGAGGCACAAGAGCAGGCAAGAGGGGCTGGGGTACGTGGGACTGAGCCGGGCACCTGGTGTGGCAAGCGCCTGCCTGGGGCCCGGACCGGCAGCTGGGAAACCCCTGTGTGGCAAGGGCACCTGAGGGTGCTCCAGGCAGCTTGAAGCAGGGCCAGGCGACACCTCCCGGGCTCAGCGACCCGGACACCCGCCTCAATCCTCGCACCCTGCCTGGGCGAGGTGAGGTGTTTACAAACACCCCGGGGTTATGCTAACCACAGCTCTGGGCCCCGATCCTCAACCTGCCAAAAAGCAGGGCCCCGGAGAGCTGCCTCCCTCCACCAGCCTCCCCCCGCCCTCAGGCCCAGAGGAGAAACTTCCGACCCCAACCCAGCTGCGATGGCCCAGCGCACAGATGGGCTGAAATGTCCACTTGGGGACACGCGGGCCCCGCTGCATCCCTGACGTGTAATTGCTGAGTGCCAGCAACGCGGCTTCTTGTCCTCTGCTCCCGAACATCCCAGGAGAGGAACCAGCTAATTGCCTCTGCCCAATGCCGCACTGCCCGAGCCCCATCAGCCTCGGCCCCTGGCTCTGCTCTCCGAGCCCAGTGCCATCCCTGCACCATCCCCGTGTCTTCGACCTGGGAGCCCCAGAGCTCCGCAGAAGAGCTGTTCCCCCAGCGGCTCACCCCTTCGCCATGCCAGGGAAGGGGTTGGCGCATCACTGGCAGCTCCCCTGGCAGCGTCCCACCCAGCCCCGGTCCCCTCGGTGCAGAGGTGCACCCCGCAGGCCCGGGCTGCCTCCGAAACAGCTGAGCCCCTGCCAAGGGGCCTGCCAGGGCCTGCCTGCAAACCAGGGCTGTGAGGGCTGGCAGTGGGGAGAGGGGAGGGATCCTCCCAGCCTGCTGGGGGGCCTGAGAGCCCACCCCCCTTTGGGGCTCTCCCGCACCTCACATAGCCCACGCCTCCTCCTGGCACTGGCCATCCTGCCCCAGACAGCGAGGCCCCCCAGGCACAAGCCGCTTTGCGGGAGGCTGCATCAGCCCCGCTTAGAGAAATCCCTTAATCCCCCAGGCCAGAGCAAGCAGTAATCCCCTGGGTGCAGCAGGATTACCAGCGCTGCCCAATCCCCCTCGCGCCAGGGCTGGGCCTGAGCAGAGACGGGGCCCAGCTCAGGACATGGTGCCAGGATGGGACCGGGCTCCCCGCGGCAGGCTGCTCACCGGTGCTGCAGCTCGGTGGGGCAGCAGCAGCCAGGCTGGTTCCCTACCACGACATTGCCACCCTGCCGTCCAGAGGCATTTGCACCCACACTGCCACACTTGGTCAGCTCCGGTCTAGGCATGGGCTCAGTCTCACCGCTGTCCCCATGGGAAGATGCTGGGAAGGGGGTGGGATTGCAGCCCCACGCCCTGGCAGGAGCGGGGGGAGCCCGCATCTGTGCCGCCAGCTGCTCACCCTGGGAGTTGCTCTCTGTTGAGGCAAACGGCTGGAGAGGGGTCTCGTATCATGGGGCAGACACTGGCGTCAGCACAATCCCACCAACAAGAGCCTCCCTGTTGGGGTCCCGCCGTGCCGAAACCTCGGCAGACAATCCTCTGCAAAACCAACAGAGCTCAAGGGTTTCAGGAGAGCTGCAGATTGCAATGCCCCTGCAACAGGGACAGCGGCAGGGATCTGGACGTGGCTGTGCCACCCGTCCTGCGCGCTGCCCTGTGGCCCCCATGGCATAGTGAGCAGGCAATTTCTGATGCTGACAGACAACCCAGGACATCTTCCAGGCGATTCCAGGAAGCAGCGAGAGGCTGCTTGAAGAATCGCTCCCTGCAGCGTTCTCCCACTAATAGGCTGCATCCGACAACGCCCGTGTTGGCCGGGCACTTGCACCTTATCTCACGCAGTAAACTCCCCACCGCCAAGCGGAGTCGCTTCTGGGGTGGAACAGAAGCCTCCTAATCAGCTGCGTTGCACAACTGTGGCAGGCAGGAAGCCGGCCTGTGAGCCAGCGCTGCCGGTAGCAGCATCTGCACCGGGAGTTCCCGGGAAGAACGGTCACCAGCATGGCTTGCAGCATCGGGACCTTGGTTTCAGATCTCACCCAGACTCCAGCCTCTCCCTCAGCAAAGTCCTCACCCAAGGAAAACCCACCTGCCGAACCACAGGAACCTGCCTCAGAGGGCTGAGGCACAGGCAGCGCCTTCCTGCCCAGTCTTGCTCCTCGGCACCAGGAGGGAATGCTCTGCGGACACGGAGGATGGAGGAAAAGCAGGGGAGCAATCTGCACATGCCGCTTGTCCCACCCTGGGGACAGGCCCTAGGTGCACACCGGGCGCTCCCATGGCATGCAGACACGCTGCCGAGCTGCGGTGGTTTGTGAGATGTTCAACAGATGCCATCGGCACGAGCCTGCCCTGCAGATCCGCAGAGCCTGAACTCAGACAGCGCTCAGGCAGCAGCTGAATACAAAGTGTGAGCAGAGAGAAGGCGTGCTGGCAGCAGGTCCCAGAGCCCGGGTAGCACCGACACCACGGTCCCCATTCCCTATAGCCAGGAGCGCTGACACCACAGACAGCAGGTCCCAGAGCCCAGGTAGCACTGACACTGCAGGCAGCAGGTCCTAAAGCCTGGGCAGCACCGACACTGCAGGCAGCAGGTCCCTGTGGCCAGGCAGCACCGACGCCGCAGTCCCCGCTCCCCAGGGCCGGGCAGCCGCAACGCTGCGGGCAGCGGGTCCCAGAGCCTGGCAGCACCGACACCGCAGGCAGC